CTTAGTAACCTCTTTAAAGTAGAGACACTACATACTGATATACACCTGAACATCAGCAGGAGAGGACTCTTTAAAGTAGAGACACTACATCATGCAGGATTCCTGAAGGAACATGTGACGGTCCCACAGATGCAGAAAGGAGTGTTTCTCCTCCTTGCTGACGGAGGAAGGAGGATTTTTGTAATCCTCTGAGAGCACTGAGAGTTCCCATGTTGCAAAGTTGTGTAACGCAGTGATGTCATAGTTGGGGGTTAAGGGGGAGAGAAGAAGAAGGTGTGGTCAGAGAGTTTTCCATCCATCTGCATTTCGTCTCCATTACTCACACGTACACTGATGGTCAACGGGGGAAAACTCAGGAAAACACACACATTGGATTTTTGGCTGCAGTGATGAAGCAGAGGAGATAAAATGCAGGAAGCTGTGCAGGAATGTTCAGGCTTTTTCAAGTAAATGCTTACAAAGCCAAAATCAGGAAGGTCGTGTATTTTCAAAATATATGCATACATTGTCCCCGCAGATCTTTTGAAGCATTTAATTAATTTATACATTTTATTTGTAAATGTCCCCGCTGTGGGACTAATAAAGGATTTCGGATTCTGATATTTTATTTATTTATTTATTATTGACATTGGAATGAATAGTTTTGTTTCCGGACTTACAAGCTATACTTCGAAAACAATTTGGAACATCTATTATTATATGTATATATTCAACGTAACACCTCTCACGCTAGCGTCTCGTCGTAGATAATTACAGCGAAAGGTTTACATTTAAAATTTGCCTTAAATTTCATTTTGAATGACATTTGAAAAACTCATAATCTAATTTACCTTTAACTGTGACAACCATGTTCACAGCTCAAATAAAAACATATATTTTTCTAGTTTGCACAGTAAGAATCATGATGTCACTGCTTTAATTCTCATATTTGTCAGACTGCTGTTGTGACGCAGCACGGCATGTACGTATTGGCTTATTTCTCTTTGACTTTAAAAATGCTTTTTTCTGCAGGAAACAACAAAGCGCATCATCGAGAAGATCCCTGCAGACTGGTGCAGCAAAGACAACTGTAACCTCAAAATCTTCCAGGAGGGCAACACAGCGCTGGTGTCCAGTGACGACGGTGAGAAGACATGCACAACACAGACATGCACACTTTACATCAGGGGTGCCCAAACCTTTTTCAGTGAGGGCCACATACAGGAAAATGGTCTGGGCCGATCACTAGAGGTATATCGTCTTATCAGTGAAGTTATAAGTTAGCAGATCAATCAAATGTAGGTGCATGCTTGATACTTGAAAATGCTTCAATAAACTCAACAGCCTACATCACAGCTCATTCCTTAAAACAGAAGCCTCAGATTGCTTTTAAAAAAGAGGAAATAGGAAGGGTAGATTTCAAGCTTGTAATGTAAATAAGTTATTGGGCTTTTTTTATCAACTAAAATTTGTTTGAAAATGTTTCCAACTTTAATTGACTGAATTTATTTGAAAAGCGGATTTATTAACACATGAATACTGTGTCATATATTTTTACATATATATTTCAGAAGTACGAAATATGACAAGCACAAATTTCATTTGTGGGCCATATTTAATTATACTTGTTTTATTAGCTGGGGGCCGTTTCAAAATGGGCGTAGTTTGGACACCCCAGGTTTACATGGATCTGATTTATAAAGGACTGATATATATTTCTGATATTCTCCTCCCTGCAGCTGACCTGGCTACGCTGGTCGACGCCCTGAAGAGCGAACACTTGAAAGAAAAGGTGAGATGATGGCAGGTGTTATAGTCTTGTGATATAGGTTCAAGTAGAGGAAAGATAACCATGATTTATTTCACTAAATTTATCTACGGTTCCTAATAATTCTACAGAATCAGGTAATAGTGTCACCTCTTTCTTTCTCTTTACATGAATCCAGAGTCTTTTGCTCTCCACAAATATACAAATTAATATTCAAAAAGTGTTTTTTGATTGAGGAAAGCTAATGCTTGTTGTCCACAGCTGACGCTAAATCGAACGGACTTCTTTCTGCGGATTGATATGACTGTACATAGTCCCTTTATCCTCCTTAGCATTGGTCTGCTCTCCTTAGCAACGGTCTGCTCTCCTTATTAACAGGCTGCTCTCCTTAGCCACAGTCGGCTCTCCTTAGCCACAGTCTGCTCCCCTTAGCAACAGTCTGCTCTCCTTAGTAACAGGCTGCTCTCCTTAGCAACAGTCTGCTCTCCTTAGCCACAGTCGGCTCTCCTTAGCCACAGTCTGCTCCCCTTAGCAACAGTCTGCTCTCCTTAGTAACAGTCTGCTCTCCTTAGCAACAGTCTGCTCTCCGTAGTAAAAGTCTGCTCTCCTTAGCAACGGTCTGCCAGCGAAAATGTGAAGACCTCTCGAATGTCCGAATTGACCAATCAGAATGGAGCATTCAACAAAGCCGTGTAATAATGTCTTATAATGGATGCATGGTTTTGAATTTAATCACATAATGTATTTTTTCTGACCACAATCTTCTTTTCTGCAGCTGGGAGTCACAAAGACGGAGACCCCCTCCTCGTCCGGGTCCTCTGTGTTTGTGGGGATCCTGGTCAGCGGTCTGCTCGCCGCCGTCGCCATCACTGTGGGGTACCTGAAGTGCCCCCGCAGGACCAGCGGCAAGGGAGTCAGGCTGGTGAGACATCACTACGTAACACTCACTCTGCTATTGGCTAGCGCTCCAACACATTGTACGTGTTGGGAGATATTTTCCTAGTCCCATACCTCTGACCCAGTTGATCAGTCTGCCCTCACTGAGCTCAGGCCTGCACCTCGGGCTGCTCTCAGTGTGTTGTCTCCCTGTTCCTGCCTGTTGGCGTCAGCTGATAGAGGTTATAGTGCTTTATCTTGTTATAGACAATGTTGATTATTCTCTCTGAGCTAAATACACGGGTCTGGGGGAGAGATCTTCAGAACAGGTCTTGTGAAGTCTACGGCCGAAGCTCCAAATAAACCATCAGTGTTTTCCATCAAAGTTCCTGCTCTCCCCGTGTCTCTCTGAGTCTCCATTGCTTCAGAAGTTTCCATCACAGTACGTGATAGGCTAATGGGCGGGACATCTCTAAGCTGTTGCCAGCCGGCCAGCTAACCAATCAGAGCAGACTGGGCTATGGTTTCAGACAGAGGGTGAAAAGAGGTGCTGCAGCACAGGCAGTATGAGACAAATCAAGAGCTTTATGAACATTAAAGCTTTGTTAGAGCCATTTGTGACATCACTATGGAACACTCGCTCTTCTATTGGCTAGCGCTCCAGCACATTGTTCGTGATAACTACTGAAAGTCAATATTGGAATATGTGGCTTTTTTAAAAACTGACGAGAGCGCCCTTACAGTATGACCTGTGCGTGTTTCACATGTTCCTGCAGTCACGTTAAACACTCACTAACAGTATGCATGGATTTTTTTCTCAGTCCGGTTTATGTTTCCTTGCATCTGAAATCAAAACAGAACCCTTTCCTTCCTCTGGGATCAAACACTGCCAACGTTTTGATCAGGGAAAGTTTCTGGCCAGCATTCAGAGAGAATACAGACAGAGAGAGAGAGCGTTATCCAAACACCCCTCCCTGCTCACAGCTTTTTTCTGCTTATTATTCATCAGTGATTCAACATGGAGCCATAAGCAGCTGTTTTACTTTAATATCAGCCTACATTTAATATCAAACTAACGGAATATATGCAACTGGATTATGTCAACATAACGAAAGTTTAAAGCCTCAAAAGAAGCTTTAAACTTTTAAAAGAAAGAACATTCTGTAAATCCCTGGTCATAAATTGTTGTCAGAATTGCTTTTTAAGTTCTGTGGCTTTTGAAAAGACATCCAGACCCCAGGTATTGAAGTGTCTTTCCCTCCCATGATGCATTGTTTCTGTGTCTCTGCAGGCGGAGGAGGCGTTCCCGGCGGATCAGGAGAACCAGGGGAACACTCTGGCCTCCGAGGCGCCCCTGAACCCCCCTCAGGAAACCCCGGAGAAACCCAGCATCAACGGAGAAACCCCCGAGGCCGAAAAGCCAGATCAACCCCCCCCACCCACCAACGGTCACTCCACCACCAAGACTGCAGACACCGAGCTGTGAAACAACAACACACACACACACAAACACAAACACACACACACACACACACACACACACACACACACACACTCACTTTCTGACCACAACAAACGTAGACATCAAAATGACACGAAATTATTTGATTGATTTAAATTGATCGTATCGTGGATAGGAAACTCATAGCTGCAGTCCACAGCTGACCGGACTACTTTCTGTGGATTGATCTGACTGCACACAGTCCCTTGAGCCTCCTTAGCAACGATCTGTTCTCCTTAGCAACGGACTGTGTTCCTTAGCACTTTGAATTGCCTCTGTGTATTAAAATGTGCTATTACAAATAAACTAACCTTAGCTACGGTCTGTTTTTCCGGACAACAACGGAATGTTGAAATTGACCAATCGCAGTCCAGTATTCAACTAAGCCGGGTAATATTTTGTCTGACTGCAGACACCGAGCTGTGAAACAACAACACACACACACACACACACACACACACACACACACACACACACACACACACACACACACACAAACAAACAAACAAACAAACAAACAAACAAACAAACAAACTCACTTTCTGACCACGCCACAGCAAACGTGGACATCAGGGACTATTTCCTACATCAGAATCCACACCCCTCCATCTGTGAGCCTCGTAAACATCAGGGGAGGAAGTCTGATGATGATGATGATGAAGACGATGACGAAGGCTGAGTCCCTAGTTGTTGACGCAGGCAGCAGAGGATTGTGGGTGTGGAGAGAAGCATCACTCTGTTCCCATGATGACTGCATGTCAACACCCTGCAGCACGCATGGATTACTGAAGGACTACAGGGGCCGAAATACTGAAAAGAGCCACAAAGCAAATAAAGAGAGAGGAGAAACATCTGCAGACACACAAAGAGACTTTAAAAAGGGAGACAACCAACGTGGGGACAAAGTAATTACAAAAGAGACACAAAATGAATAAAAAAACACTCGAAGAGGAACAAAACAACCACAAATATGAAGAGAATAGACAAAAAAAGATATGAGGTTCAAACAGACACATCCTGACTACTAGAGATGATTTATGTAAAGAGACCAATTAGTGAAAAGGATTATTGTAGGTCGATTTGGATTCAAGCTAATTCGACCAATTTGTGAAAATAACAGCTACTCAACAACAGAGACAGAAAACAAATACAAAAAGCAACAAAACAACTTCAAAGTGACCAAAAAAAGTCTAAATATGACCAAAAAGAAACACAAAACATGTACAAAAAGTCTCAAAATGACCAAAGAATGTCAAAAAACGCACCAACAAAAGCCTCAGCGACTCTTAAATCTGCATGTTTTTATCCACGTGTGGCTTTCGGTCTCATAATCCGCCCTGCAGACTCTCTGCATGTCGTCACATTTACCCACAAACCCTCCACAGTAAACACCTGCTCCTCTGCAGCCACGACAGACGGAGAGGAGACAAACCACGCTGCCTTGAAATCTGTTTACAAACTCAGAGAGAAATCCACATGGAGTTATTGAAAGTGTGTGAACGTGTGCTTTAAATCCTGCATGTGTGTGTGTTACCGTGCATGTTCACCCGTACATGCATAGAGGCTTCCGTTGCTTTACTGTATTATACGTGTGGTGTTGTAATCGAGTGAACGAATGAGTGTGACATTAGCCAGTGTAAACTTTGTAAAATAAGTTCTTTAATGACGCTTGTCGCTGCACATTATCCCGCTTATTACACGGCCACGTGATAAATACACCAACGACTTGACTCACAACATTGATGCAAAAATGTTTTTATTGATTTAAATTGATCGTATCGCGTCTGCCAAGAAAAAAATATATATTTAAAACTATTCCACGTGTGTTCTGATGGAGGAAACTCATATTTGTTTATCCACAGCTGACCGGACTACTTTCTGTGGATTAATATGACTCCACACAGTCCCTTGAGCCTCCTTAGCAACGGTCTGTTCTCCTTAGCAACGGTCTGTTTTTCCAAGCAGCAACGGAATGTTCAAATTGACCAATCGCAGTTCAAGTATTCAAATAAGCCGTGTAATATTTTGTATACTCTCTTTTTACTGTTTGTACTCTATTGAACAGTGTGTATAGTTTCTGTCTTGTTTTTTTTAATTTGTGTTCCAACACTTTTAAGGTGCCAAAGTTTCTGATGTCATGTCTTATGTTGTGTATTAAAATATTTGGCCCATTTTTATAAAACTTGATCAGACTGCAGAAAAGTGTTCTTATGAATATTCTATATTCTAATTTGTTAACTTTTTCATGCTAACATTCCAATATGACTTTTTTTACTAGCAGCCTGTAGTTTTAAATTGGAATAAACATGAACAAATAAAAGATGAATAACTTTTTATGAATCGTCATGACTCATTTTTTTGTGTAAACGGTGCAACTTTGGTCCCTGTTTGACAGTTTATGAAGCACAAAGTATAAAACGTCTCCCAAATATGTGTTACACCTTGTAATCGAACTTGATTCGTTGTACATTAGTTCATTAAGTACTATACTCAATGCAGTACTTTGACTTGTAATGGAGATTTTTTTCTTATACATACATTTGAAAAAGATTACCTGTACTAAACTTTTTCAAATGTATGACATCATATATGGAAAATGTCAATTTTAGAGTTTAAAGAAAGCAAACAATTTGAATTAGATAAGATCAGAGGAACATATATTGAATATTTTTCTCAAACAGGTATGTGTCAGAGTTTATTATATTTGGAAAACATTTCAATTTTCTTGATGTCAGCACATAATGAAACCTAGGAAAAAGTATTCACATCCATTAAAGGGCCCAATTCTGCTTTTCGGTTGTTTCTTTCGATAGACGATAGAAGCTGATTTTTGGACTATTCGATTGCAGCCTAGGTTTTTGTGCATGTCCTTTGTTTACTTGCAGAACATAGTGACATCACTATGGAACACTCACGCTCCTATTGGCTACTTCTCCAACCCATTGTACGTGATAGGCTAAGGGGCGGGAAAGGTATAAGCGGTAATAATCACAACAGATACATACTGATATACACCTGAACATCAGCAGGAGAGGACTCTTTAAAGTAGAGACACTACATACTGATATACACCTGAACATCAACCGGAGAGGACTCTTTAAAGTAGAGACACTACATACTGATATACACCTGAACATCAGCAGGAGAGGACTCTTTAAAGTAGTTAAGTTACAGCTGATGTCACATGGAGGCTAACTCTTGAGTTATTAGTTAATCCGGTTTAACTTCAGATTAGAAACATTCCTCTCCTGTTTCTGTTGCTCAGTACATGTAGAGTTTGAAAGAGAGTCCAAACTGATTGGAGGTGTTGATGGTTACCTACCTGGAGCACAGAGCTGAGCAGCAGCAGCAGAGGACACACACAGCAGCAGGAATACAACGTCCTCCATGTTCAACCAGTGGAGAATAAAGAATGTCTCGAGGTTGAGCAGCGTCTCAGAGTTAATGATTGAACCCTCTCCTCTGCAGTAAAGGCTGTTTGCTCAGCTTATATTATTACTGGGAGCTGCTGTTTACCCACTCACAGGTAACTAAGTACATTTACTCAAGTACTTAGTTACACTTTAGAGATACTTGTAGTTTAGTTTTCAATGTTACGATACTGTGTACTCCCCCCTGATAATATATCTCTCTGTGAGGCTGCACACAGATACATCTTATCAGTGTGATGGAGACTGGAATGTGCAGATGGTGTCAAAGTGTGAGTAACTGTGTGTGTGTGTGTGTGTGTGTGTGTGTGTGTGTGTGTGTGTGTGTGTGTGTGTGTGTGTGTGTGTGTGTGTGTGTGTGTGTGTGTGTGTGTGTGTGTGTGTGTGTGTGTGTCAGATAAAATCAGATTCCTGGCAGGTCAGATCTCTGATGTAGTTACAGGAAGTGGAAACACACTGACCTCCCTGTGTTTGAATTCCGAGCTCAAAAACATAAAGAAAAAAACCATCATGTTTTTATTATCCAGAATAAAAAATCTGAACAAATATAATTTCTTATTTTTTTTATTAAGTTCGTTTTTAAATGCAGAATTCCTCGAAAAAAAGAAATGTCTCAAAGTATTCCTGAATTTAAAGATAGTTAGTCAACAATCTGAGTTTAATTTCTGAAATCAAATTTTAAAAATAAATAAACTCTGAAACTCTGAATATTATTTCGGTACTAAAATATATTTCTATTTTAAATAAATTCTGGCTTCATAAAGTCAGAATGAAGAATAAACTCAGTGTTTGTGAGGCGCTCTCCTGTCGAGTTACTGGGAACGGGAGTCTTGTGACGGGTTAATGATCCACCTGCCCACTCTCTAAATGACACTTTAACACCGAGCTGTAAAACCGATCATTCGGCCATAAAGTCTCTCAGGAGTTTTCCAGAGATCACCCGTCATGAAACGATCAAAGACTGAGAAACACTCTAATGAACAGCTTCATTAGGAGAGGCGTTGCTCTGAAATATAACGGTGTTCTTTTCTGTCTTTCCAAATTAAATAATTAACTTTAAGTTTCATTTAAAATGTTTTGGGGACTTCCACTTCTTCTGCTGTTACAGACTGCAGTACTGCTCCTGAACACATGGGGGCAGCAGAGGCTTCACCCCAATGAGGAGCTACACTCATTATTTACCATGTTTCTTTATTTATTCATAAAGAATAACATGAGTTTTTACCTTTGCTTTAGATCAATTACAATTAATGTTATAAAACTTGAAACTTGATGAACAAGCCGCTGCTGGATATCTGAAGTTATATTAATGTAAATGTTTATTTATTGTATTAGCCAATAATCTGAATCTGCACAAGCTGTCAGATAAAAGACTGATTTCAATCAGTATCATCAACTGAGAATACTCGGTAAATGTTACCATGTTTACATATTTTATCCCAATTCTATTTCTACGACTTCAATCATATTCAAAGTAAATACTGATATATTTTACTGTTTTTTTTATATATTTTGTCATGTATTATAGTTTTCTTCAAATAATTGTTTATCTGTGTTTTTAAACGTTTGTTTTACTTTGATGTGCACGACACCAAGTCAAATTCCTCTTACGTGTCAGCCCACCTGGTGATAAACTTGGTTCTGGTTCTGAATGTTATATTAACTAAAACGTTATTATGTAACTCTACTCTCTAAACACTCTGACCTGAGGACCAGAGGCCTGCACTACGAATCTAGTTCAACCTAACCTGGATATGTTTGAGTTATCCGGTTGACTTAATCCAAAACATACGCGCTCTCGCTAAACGGTCCGACGACGCGGGTTATCAAGTGGATCGCTCAAGCCAGCCGTGTCCTATCTAGTTAGGTGCGCGTTCACATGAAAGGGGTGGTATCTGGAGCATTCGACCAATCACAAACATGGAGAAGCGTACTGACAGCGCAGCGTCATACTTCCTGAATGAAAAGTCAACTATAATATTAGACATATGAAGAAGTTAAACTTTAAACATCCATGACTTAAACACTTTATCCAGGATCAAAGCCACATAGCTGCACCTGCAAGGTGAATACAGCTGGTAACAGAACAAGTGTTTGAATGCGTACATTAACAGGTTTATGATATCACTGCCCCGTCTAAGACACCATCTGACTTTCATTACATTTGTCTCGAGTGTTTCCTCAACTTAATGTGTTGCTTAAAATAATACTTCTGCATACAGTATGTGACACTGTGACGGCCCGTCCACACTACAGCTTCAAAAAAAGCTTGCCGGCGGGCGTGTCTGAAGCTCGACCAACAACCAATCACATGAATCTCCCGCCCCTGTTACACAAGCAGCGGTTTGAT